TTTTTGAGACAGAGTTTTGCTCTGTCGGCCAGCCTGGAATCGTGCAGCGGCACAATCTCAGCTCACTGTAACCTCCACCTCCCAAGAGAAGGTGGCATGTGGGATTACAGGTGCATGCCACCACATCCAGCCAATTTTTTTAAGTTTTTGGTAGAGATGGGGGGGGGGTCTCATCATGTTGGCCAGGTTGGTCTCGAACTCCTGACCTCAAGTGATCCATCTGCCTGGGCTTCCCAAAGTGTTGGGATTACAGGTGTGAGCCACCGCGTCCAGTCGTGTCTGCTAGCTCTTGAATGTCTCCAAGCACCGTATCTTGAAATTACTTCGCTCCCTATCTTTTTTGCCATACCCACAATCTCGTTCATGATTTCCTTGACTGGCTCTGCTGTCAATCTTAAGTCATGCACAACATCTGGACACAGTTTCCTCCAGCAGGAATTTATTGTTTTGGGCTTGATGGCCTTCAGAGCTTTTTCTATAACAATGATGGCATCTTCTATGATATTCTCTCTACTGGGGTTCTCTTCCATAGCAATGACAATCCTTTCCATAGATTAGCTTATGTAATGAGCCTGTAAAGGTCTGTATGAACTCCTGATTTGGAGGCTGAACTTGAGGCATTGTGTTTGGGGGCAAGTACACCACTTTGACACCTTTAGTATTGAACTTACGGGGTTCTGGGTGGCCAGGGGCATTGCCCAACATTAAAAGAATTTTAAAGGCAGTCCCTTACTAGCAAGGTACTTTCTGACTTCAGGCACAAAGCATCAGTGAAACCAATCCAGAAAAAAAGGTTCTCATTGTCTAGGTCTTCTTGTTATACAATTAAGAGACTGGTAGCTGGTGTTTATCTTTTCCCTTCAAGGCCTGGGGGTTAGTAGCTTTATAAATAATGGCAGTTCTGATCATAAATCTGACTGTATTTGCACCAAACATTAGAGTTAGCCTTCCTGCCTTAAATCTTGGTGCTCATTTCCCTTCCTTACTAATAAATGTCCTTTGTGGCATTTCAACCCGCCCCCCCGCCGCCCAAGAACAGGGCACTTTAATCTACATTAAAAACCTGTTCAGGCCGGGCACGGTGGCTCACGCCTGTAATCCCAGCACTTTGGGAGGCCGAGATGGGCGGATCACGAGGTCAGGAGATCGAGACCATCCTGGCTAACACGGTGAAACCCCGTCTCTACTAAAAATACGAAAAATTAGCCAGGCGTGGTGGCGGGCGCCTGTAGTCCCAGCTACTTGGGAGGCTGAGGCGGGAGAATGGTGTGAACCCGGGAGGCGGAGCTTGCAGTGAGCCAAGATCGCGCCACTGCACTCCAGCCTGGGCAACAGAGCAAGACTGCCTCTCAAAAAAAAAAAAAAAAAAACCTGTTCAACAGCCTGGCCAACATGACAAAGCCCCGTCTCTACTAAAAATCTAAAAATTAGCTGGGTGTGGTGGCGCATGCCTATAATCCCAGCTACTTGGGAGGCTGAGGTAGGAGAATCACTTGAACCCAGGAGGTGGAGGCTGCAGTGAGCCAAGGTTGCACCACTGCACTCCAGCCGGGGAGACAGAGCCCGACTCCATCTCAAAAAAACAAAACAAACAAACGAAAAACCTGTTCAGGCAGATGTTTCTCCTCAATGATTTTCTTAATGGTGTCTGGGAATCTGTCTGCTGCTGTCTCTTGGTCAGCAGAAGCTGACTCTACTGTCATCTTGCCTTTTCTTTTTTTTTTTTTTTTTTTTTGGAGATGGAGTTTCTCTCTTGTTCCCCAGGCTGGAGTGCAATGGCATAATCTTGGCTCACTGCAACCTCTACCTCCCAGGTTCAAGTGATTCTCCTGCCTCAGCCTCCTGAGTAGCTGGAATTACAGGTGCCCGCCACTGTGCCTGGCTAATTTTTTGCATTTTTAGTAGAGACAGGGTTTCACCATGTTGGGCATGCTCATCTCAAACTCCTGACCTCAGGTGATCCACCCACCTCGGCCTCCCAAAATGTTGGGATTACAGGCGTGAGCCATTGCGCCTGGCCATCTTGACATTTCCTAAGCCAAATCTCTTTCTGATATTATCAAACCATCCTCTGTTGGTATTAAACTTTCCAGCTTTAGATCCTCCACCTTCCTTTTGCTTTGAGTTGTCAGATAATGACTTCACCTTTTCTGGAACCACATTAGAGTCTATAGCTATGCCTTTCTATTGCAATCCCATACCCACATAAAAGCTGCATTTTCAATACAAGATGAATTTATTTCACAAAAAGTGCAAGGTTTTCAAGCCTGATGGCATAGTTGCAGTAACAGTGTCTCAAATTTCCTTTTCACAGTGGTCCTTACACTGGATTCATTTATCTTGAAACAGTGAGCAACTGCAGCTGCAGACCTCAATCTACAGTACATATCAGGCAATTCAACTTTCTCTCTTAATGTCATGACTTTTGTCTGCTTCTTAGGATCCAGCATCACTAGTGGCACTTCATATGATTCTCATGGTGTTACTCAGGGTTATGGTGTTGCACTAAACATGATGAAAAATATGTGAGAACCACCAGAGATATCTTTTTACTGGGATAGGCAAGTTACTGGAGAGATAAACTGCTCATGAGCATCATACAGTGTTTTAAGCAGATACAACATCATAGAGTGTTTTAAGCAGATACAACACTTGAGCTTACCAAAATAGCAACAGGAGGTGGCCATGAAATTATTACAGTAATACGGTATATACTACCATTAATTTTATGTAGTTATGATTTAACACTGCATCTTTATGTTTGTTTACATTTCTCTTGACTGTGGATGGTCTGGAAATGTTTGTCTGTGTAAGTTTTAGTACATTTTAACTTTTTATAATAGATTTGTGTATATTTTATGGTAGTAAATGATAAAATACACTAGTATCTACATATATTTTATGCACTCATGACATACTTGTGTATTGAAAAAAATCCGTGTATAAGTAGACATACACAGTTCAAATTCACGTTGTTTAAGAGTCAATTGTATATTTCTACCTCTAGCTCACATTTTTCTCTGAGCTTGAGACCCACTTATCCAACTGTCTACTTTATCCCTCTAGTTGAGTATCTCTAAGAAATCCTACAATAATCATATCCAAATGCAAACTCAATCTCCACCCACAGCTCTACCTGTGAAATATGCCCTTCTTCAAGTGTCCCTATTATCTGCAAGTGGAAGCATCACTTTCTCAACTGTAACATCCAGAAATGTAGACGTTATCCCTGTTGCCTCTTTCTCCATCCTTAGTATCTGATCCATCCTGTTGACTTTATCTTTTTGAATATTTCCTGAATGTATCCTCTTTTCTAATACCCATGTTTACTCTAATCCAAGCTTCTATCACACTTACCCAAACTAATACAGGTATCTTCTAACAGTCTTTCTGCATCCATGAGTGCTCCTTTTCCAATTCATCCTCCATGCATTTTCTCAAAAACAAATCTGATCACATCTCTCTGTTTCAAGCCTTTAATACCTTCTCAGTGCTTTTAGGATAAAACAAGATTCCTTAATAAAGTCCAGAAGGTCTTGGATAGGACATCCATTGCCTAACTTCACAGATTAATCTCTCATCAAACTCTGCATCACTCTCCACATTTTAGCAAGGCTAGTTTTCTTTTAGGTCTTTGAGCATACCATGATCCCCGGCCCCGTTGGGCCTTTACACACAGTATTGCCTCCGCTTACTATGCTAACACCACCACCCCACCGCCACCACCACTCATCTCTTTATACTGCTTAATGCCTGCTCCGTCTTCAGACGGCGTCTCAAGAAACCTCTCAAAGAAGCCTTCCCTGACTCCTTTAACTAGATGAGCTTCTCCTCATACACATTTATGACTGCACATCTTACTTACTATTTCTAAATACACATTTATTTTTGTGATTAATTTGTGCTCAATGCCTGTCAATCCAAAACGACCTTAAGCTCAACGGAGGAAAAGACTGTGTCTGGTTCACTCTATTCTATCGCTGGTCCCCAGGAAAAGAGACACTCAAATATTTTTTCAACGAATCAATCAACATAGGAGCGACACTGGAAGCCGTCCAATCGAGCAGTAGTAGTGCATAAGAATGGGACTTGGAAAGCTAAAAGGGACCAGAATAACCCTAGGAAAATATTAACGTTTAGGAATCAAACAGAGGAAAATTTTTTTAAGTCGTCAAAAAGTTAAAAAAAAAAAAAAAAAAAAAAAGCAAAAAAGGAAATAGCATCACTAGAGCCATGGAAGGATACCATTCCAAACAGAACAGGCCACCGAAGTTGACAAGTAGGTAGTATCTAGTGATCTGACAAAATTAATAATGTAAGACGCAGAGAAGGGGAAAATATATGGGGAGAAGCTCCATCTTTCCAGTGCCTCTGTAAGTACGATTATAACTTTGTTGATAAACTACCACGACGGCCCGAATCAAACAATAAATCTAAAGAAATATGTGTGCCATTTTAGATTTCAACATTATTCCTCTCTATCTGCAAGAGTCATTTTCAGCTGACGGCATATATAATGTTTAAGGATAAATGTTTTAACATTTGCACCTGAAACGTTGTTTCTCAAAGAACCTTACCTCCCAGAATCATCAAAACAGACCTCCGTGTGTCCCTCTGTATGTCCATATCTCATTGGCTTCCGTGTGGCCGGCATCTTTTCCTTTATCTACCTGAAAATGTTTTATAAAAGCCAGTCTTATTATTACAAATGAGAGAAAAGCAGCGAGGCTGGGGATAGGAAGAGAGGTTAGTCTCCTCCAGAGCACGTTCTCCGCAGCCCGGTTTCCCCCACCCGAGTGACAGCAGCAGGATAAGGCGCAGGGTCTGTCAGACAACAAGCAGGAGAGGGAACACGCATCTCCTTGGTGGGCGCGGGCAGCCAGAGTGGGGACTCACCCGGGTGACCGAGCCTCCGCGACTGAGGTTCCGCAAGAGCAGCTTCCCGCGCTTCGGCTCGCTCACCACACTGCGCCTGCGTCGACCCGCCCACGCCCGGCGCGGGTCCCGACAGAGGTCGCGGGGTGGTGGCGTCAGCGGCGGCGCCCTCCGCGTGGAAATTAGCCGGTTGCCCGGGCAAGTGAGGGAGGAAGGGAGGGAGCTGAACACGGAAGTGGTGGCGGCGCCCAGGAAACCGGCGGAGGCGTAGACCGTGACGGCTGGGATGGGACCGGAACGCCGAAGCGGGATTGGGGGTGGCAGAAAAGCATCTGCTTTGTAAGACCTACACGAGGTGCAGGAGTGGTTGGGCCTCCCTTCTCCACTTAAGCAAGCGCCCAGAGTGATGGCGATGGTGATGGCAGCAGTTACTCGGGCAACCCCATTTAAGCTGTGCTGCGGTAGGTGAGTGGGGGAAGGGTGACCGCTGCCTGGCCTCGCAGGCGGGGGTCTTTTTCCTGCCCTCCAGGCTCTACTCTCAGGAAACAATATCCGGATCCCTAAAAGGATCCGATCTCTTCTTGGGGCCCAGTTAGCAGACAGATCTTTGAGCATCTTCTCTAGAAAAGAAGGCGAGATCTTTAAGAGCCTCTAATCTTGGCATCCTTCGTGCCCTCACCTTGTCGCTTCTGTAGAGATAAAGGAGGAATGACTTAATTTCTGTTCCGGTTGGTTCTCTTGGTCCCTGGAGGTATGGGGTATAAATTAATGCTTATTCTTTGCGACTCTATCTATACATCCCTTATGAAGAAAGTAACTTATATTCTCTATTCAGATCCCACCTAAAGTTTACTGAAGTGAATGTTTATAACCAAAAGAAGAGTTACAACTTAACAGCCTTGAGTACTTACATTTGATCCATGCAACATCTGCTAAAGTCTTGGCCACTAAGTTTAAGTTTATGCTTTTCTTGTATCTTCACATTCTTCGAATTGGTACACCAGCCTCTGATGAAAACCTTCAGAATGATATTCTTTCTTTTTTACTTATCTTTGAGAATTTTTCTGCGTTTTTGTGATACCTTCCAGTATCACTCACGTTTATTTCGTTACCTGAGACGTTTTTCTGTTGAAGAGGTTTCCCTATTGTTTTTTCAATCTAGTTCCATTGTGAAAAGTTGCAAGAACACAGGCAAACCGTCGTGTTCTTACCGTGGGTGGCATTGTGTGAGGCGTTGTTTTTAGTACTAGAGCTCCAGATAGCCTTGCTAGACGCTGAGGTTTGTATATGAATGGAGAGGAAGAATGATTGGCTTAAAAACAACTTGGGATTTGTGGAAAAATAACCCACTGTTGATCTCCCGAAAGAGAAGTGGTACCTGAGATGATGCTTTCTGAGTGACCTAATTTTTTTTGGAGATCATTTGTTTTTTCAATAGACTGACTGATAAATTTTTTTGTTCAAGTAACTTAATATCATTCGCTAGAGTACATAGAGTTCAAGATGAACTCTCATAATATTCGTCTCTATGTTGAATAAAGCGTGGTGAGATTTCTGGTTAATACTATTCAGAGCTCAGCATAAGAAGAATCTGCAAATTGGAACAAGTTATAGCTACAAAATGCCTTCACTATAATATCTATAATACCTATGTGACTTTAAGACTATGATTGGTGTCCACACATCTTTTTCTCTTATCAATCAAGTCGTTTGGTTCATAGGTTAAAGAACAATTTTCATTGCAGATTTCGCATGTATGGTAAAAGCTTGAGCCTCCGACTTCAACAGTCCTGGGTTTTAATTCTAACTGACAGATTGTATGACCTTGAATATGTTCCTTTACTGAAAATCGAATTCCTCATCTCTAAAATGGAGATGACACCTACCTCCGTCGCATTGTTAGAGTATATTGGAGATACTCATGGATATATAAAAGTAATTGTTATTAATGTCTCATGTTATTAAAAGGGTACTTTGGGTGGATATTTAGTGGTTTTTGTTTAAAGTGGGATTTGTTTAAATAATTATCCAGTAAATTTTTCAAATATTAAAAAATGTATTCTTGTTTTTGCTTGTATCATGTTTTCACAATTCCATTTGTTTCAGTCAAATGGCTACAAATTGTAATACCTTCAGTGAGTTTATGGTCTTGCTGAGGGAAATAGACATTCAAACAATATGGTCAAGATGATAGTGCAGTAATGAAAGATGTATAACTTAAATATTAGCAAAATTGTCTAGTTAGTTAAAATAACATAGTTTTTTAAAAAAGAAATCAGTGTAACTGTGTCACAGATATGAGTATCAAAAATTTTCCGAATGTAGTTATTTATCATTAACAGTGCTTATCCATAGGTGTGGGTGGCTAAATGAACTGACTGAAAATGATGCCAAAGTCACAGATTCAATTGCAGTGACGGTTAGTTAGCTTTGCTGTGTTGTAACCACTCATACTACCCTTAAGCTCACAAATATTTTTGCTCCCAAGGGCAATTGAGCGAGAAAACATGGGTACACTGCCATTCTACAGATGATGGTATTACCTATATAAAATCATGTGATCTTACAGGGTTTATCTAAGAGGATTTATCAGTATTGGCTTATGGAAGGAGTTTAAAAAATGATTTTCTAGTAAAATATGTACTTGGTGTAAAAATGATTAATCTTGTGAAAGGTAAGGCTAGAAGAGTGTAAAATAGCCAAGGAGACCAAAGTACTGAAAAAAGAAACATTGAAGGCATTTTAGAAATGTGAAGATTTGTATATTTCCAAATGTGTCCTGAAATTTACTAGCCTATTTCATAATTTGGGGATAAATAGTACTTGTCTGTAGGTATACTTAGTATGATATAAAAGACAATACAGTAAAAGTCCCCCTCCTACTCATACTCCCAGCCACCCAATTCCCCTGACTAAACACAGCCAGTATTTGATTCTTGTATTACATTAACACTAGATCCTTACTACAGCAAGATGAGATAATCAGTGTTTTATAGATAGAAAAACTAAGAAAAGTTGTAATTTATCTGGTGTTTATCTAGTCACACACCTGCGAAATGTCGGAGCTAGAAATAGAACCCAGGTCTTTCACCTAGTCCAAGGTAGTCTACCACACTGATTCTCCAAATCATAGCAGTTGCCACAAAACTTAGAATTTAGTAAAACATAAAGTCTAGAGTCACCTTTTACTAATTTGTACATAAAACTTGTTACCCAACCTTAAATGTAACCATATGTAATTGTTATAAGGCAGTGAAGAAAATATAATACAATTTTATAAAATCTTTGCTTGTTTCTATTTAAATCTATTTAGTAAGTTAGCTTCTAAAAAACTACAATTTTTGTTTTAAAGAATTTAAAACTTTTTTAAAATAATGTATTTAACATCAGGAATAATATAAAGTGCTTTGTGATATTTCAGAAATGGAAAAGCCTCCTTGACTTCAGATTTCTGAGGCACGTTTTTGTGCAGATTTTCTAGCCTTAACATGTAGCCTTTGTTTCCCCTCTCCTTTTTCTGGATTTTGCCACTTTCCCACCTCTCATTCTTAGAAATGTACTTCTTCTAACATGAAAAGTTCTGAGTAATACTAGGAAGCAGTTAATACTTGTTTTCCTTAAGTTCAGTGTATGTTATTTTCATACATTTTACTCCTGGCAGTAAAAACATGAGGTAGCTGGCATTATCCAGATTTTACAGTGGGAGAACTTAAGCTAAATTAGATTTCTTTTTTTTTTTTTCTTTTTTTTTTGAGATGGAGTCTTGCTCTGTTGCCCAGGCTGGAGTGCAGTGGTGCCATCTCGGCTCACTGCAAGCTCTACCTCCCGGGTTCACGCCATTCTCCTGCCTCAGCCTCCCGAGTAGCTGGGACTACAGGTACCCGCCACCACGCCCGGCTAATTTTTTTATATTTTTTAGTAGAGACGGGGTTTCACCATGTTAGCCAGGATGGCGTGATCCGCCCGCCTCGGCCTTCCAAAGTGCTGGGATTACAGGCGTGAGCCACTGCGCCTGGCCAAAATTAGATTTTTTTAAACCAGGTAACATATGTAGTGAGTGGCAAAGTCTGAATTGTAGCCCACATTTGACAGTTTAGCAGCTCATGCTATTTCATCTTTACCATGTTTATTTTTAAATATGGTATAGAGAAAAACGGTATAGGTTGTTAATTTTTTACAGATCTTTAAAACTTTAAAATTTTCTTTATATGCTTAATTGGTCTCACAAGAAAAAAGAATTCAAGGAAATAGGCCAAAATGTCAAAATTGCTTGCTTTTAGGTAATGGAATTATAGCTTTTTTCCCCTCCTTTTTAAACTTTTCTGAATGGTCCATGTATTACACAATGAGCATATATTGTTTTTATCATAACAAATTACAGATTGGAAGAAAAAATAAATCTGTTCAATCTAATTTATTCCATAAAATGGTTCAGTATTATATCTTAAATATTATGTTTCTTAAATTCTCTTAATCTTCCTTCTGCTTTTAGAAGTTCAGGTACTGCCAGCTCGTAGTTTTCTGCTTTCTTCACTGTAGATTAGCCTCTTCAGTGATGGGTTCCTAGACCTCTCTCCTTTAGCTAATAACCTTAGGGAATGTACACTCACGTTAACAGATTAGCCCATTAATGTTTCCCCAAACTTTCTTCCACAAAAGGCTTTGTGGCAAAGTAAACACAGGAAGCTATGGCTTATGCTTTATTCTTTTTCTATTCTTTCTATTTATATTCTTTATTCTATTGCTTATTTATTTCTTTACTGAAGGATCTCCTGGGAACGTTTGCTAAATATGCACTGTAATCTTTGAGCGGAGAAGCATTTCCCAAACTTACTTGACAAGAGAACCTTTTTTTCTCCAGAATATGTGTTAACATCTTTCAGAACTAGTGTCCACAAGAGTATAGAGTGGGGAAAAGTGACATAAGGAAACTATAATTAGGAAAGCGTGGAAAAAGTGGGGAGAAAGGGTAAGGAGGGTGTAGTGCTACCAAATCAATGATTCTTTTTTTAAAAATTACCGTTAAGTCCCATGAGCCCTGGCTCAGTAGCATGAAAAAAGGAGCTACTTTAAAATATTTACTGGAAAATGAACCTGTATTGCTTCTGTAATGAGAAAAACATTTGTTTTTTAGGTCAGATATTTTCCATACAGACAAACCCGTTTTCACATCTTTTTCTTAACATTCCAAGGAGTTCATCTGTTGTCTGCTCTCCAGTGACTTCCGTTTGTGGAGCCTAAGTGTTTCTACAGAATCCAACTCGAGTATCGCGGACTATGATCAGAATGCTTTCAAGGAGTTTTTGGGCACATGATGGCAGGTAAACTTTGGAATCATGAATTTGGTAGGGAAAGTCCCCAGGCTTAATTACTACCAGAATAATAATATATTTGTGAATTATTAATGTAGTATACTGAATTATTCTTTATAGGATCAAATTTATTTCAATTTAATATTTACATTAATTGTGGTCTTAGATGTATGTAAGCATTGTAGACATAAGTAGCTCAATGAATAATTAATGTATACAATAATGCTGTTATCCTACATCATAGAGGAAACTAATGAATTTCCAGATGAATGAAGCTTATCCTTTTAATTATTGGATTTTAATTGTTTTCTGTAGAAATTTTGAATTAAATTCACCTTCTCAGTCTTATTCAGTATTACTAAATGTTATTTAAATAGTTTGTAGTGAAAATTGACATAATGGGCACTCATTCTGTTATTGTTGTCATTGTAATTTGTGGTAGAGCCTGGGACCAAATAGTGGCAGAATCTGGAAACTTGTTTTCTTGAGAAGGCTTTTATATAAACTTACTTTTTAAACATTTGCTTTTTGCTCATCAAGAAATATGACTTAAAAAAAAAAAAAAGATGTCATTCTGTACTCCCCAGGGCAATGTAACATAGCAGCCTTCATAAAAAATTAATTATTGAATCAAGAACCAAAGCAGCCTTTTCCCAAGTGATTCTTTCACCTTCTTTTTAAAAAGCTTCTTTGCAGCTACAGTCAAAGATCTTTGATTTGTCAGCATCTTTCAAACTATCATCTTTGATTTCTGTGTCACATAAAATTGTTGGTAAAGCCACCTTATCATTTCCTCTGCTACCTCATTTATACAAAGTTTTTATAAAATTTTAAGAATTAATGATAGGCTATCTGGAATAACTTGCTCAGATTCAGAACCTACACTTTTTTTTAAATTCAGATTTTACATGTATGGACAAGATACCAAAGCACATTTTCAAAAAAACTCATCTTTAGTCTTCATAACAATAAAAATAAGTTTTCTCTCACCAAAATTAAGTTATTTTTATTGAAAGCAAAATGATTTTTTTTTAATATTTTAGAATTTTGGTTCAAAGAAGCTTCTGGAAGAGATTAGAAAATTCTCTTTATATATGTCAGGATAAAGATATGATAGTTTGATATACTTCTCTCATTTTTTTATAACAGAATCAAATAATGGTGAAAGAAATTCTAAGTGTCTTTTTTCTAATAAGATTATCTCCATAGCACAGGGTTATTTTTTAAACAGTTACTTCCTCAGTAATTGTTAAGATGTTACCTATGCCAAAAAGTGAATGATTAAATGTATGTGTTTTAAAAAAATATATCTATCTGCTAAGTAGTTTCTGAGAGCCACTTGTTGTTTCAGTAATGGTTATAAAATTTAGAACACTTGTTATTTTGTAAAAGAAAAATGCATAACTCCTCTTAAAAGTTCAACAACTTATTTAAGTACTTTGCCTTGAGATAATTAGCAAACCCTGCATGTTATAAAATTTCTATGGTCATGTCTCATTACAAAGTATTTTAAAGATTCTCTTATTTAAAATGATACAATCCACGAACTATTCTAGTAAGATATAAACAGTAAGGCCAGGCACGGTGGCTTGTGCCTGTAATCCCAACACTTTGGGAGGCCAAGGCAGGTGGATCACTTGAGGTCAAGGAGTTCGACACCAGCCTGGCCAACATGGTGAAACCCTGTCTCTACTAAAAATATAAAAATTAGCCGGGAGTGGTGGCACATGTCAGTAATCCCAGCTACTCGGGAAGCTGAGGCAGGAGAATCACTTGAACCTGGGAGGCAGAGGTTGCGGTGAGCCGGATCGCACCACTGCACTCCAGCCTGGGTGACAGTGAGACCCTGTCTCAAAAACAAGCAAACAAACAAAAAGATATAAACAGTACACCGAAAGTTAATAAAGAAATGGAGAGGGCTGGCTGCCATAACTTGTCAGCTTTTTGGAACTCCCATTCTTCTCTTAGGAATAGCACAGACAAATGACCATCTGACAATGCATGATGGTAACATTTATCAACCATATTTAGTACTAATATTAGTTTTTGTAATTTTTAGACAAATATAAATTGAAAAATTTTCTTCCGACTTTGAAGACTAAAATATCTGATGACATTCTGTACCGTATATCGATGGGGCAAAAGATAACAGTTTATAAAAGTAGGGCTTCTTGAACATGAACTTACAGTTCTCTAGCAAAAGAATAGCCATGCGAAATTTATGTGAAGCTCTAATTCTGAGAGAGATACAAAACAGTAACTAATCAGAAAATTTTCAGGCCGGGCATGGTGACTTATGCCTGTAATCCAGCCGAGGCAGGTGGATCACGAGGTCAGGAGTTCAAGGCCAGCCTGGCCAAGATGGCGAAACCCCGTCTCTACTGAAAAAAACTACAAAAATTAACCAGGCACGGTGGCAGTTGCCTGTAATCCCAGCTACTCGGGAGGCTGAGGCAGGAGAATCACTTGCACCCAGGCAGCAGAGGTTGTGCCACTGCACTCCAGCCTGGGCGACAGAGTGAGACTTCGTCTCAAAAAATAAAAAGTTTAAAAAAAAAAATTTCATTGCATTAACTATTTTTTTTTCCTTGAGATGGAGTCTTGCTCTGTCGCCCAGGCTGGAGTGCAATGGCGCAATCTTGGCTCACTGCAACTGCCGCCTCCCAGATTCAAGCCATTCTCCTGCCTTAGCCTCCCATGTAGCTGGGACTACAGGCGCACACCACCATGCCAACTAATTTTTGTATTTTTAGTAGAGACAGGGTTTTACCATGTTGGCCAGACTGGTCTCAAACTCCTGACCTCAAGTGATCCACCCATCTGGGTCTCCCAAAGTACTGGGATTACAGGCGTGAGCCACCGCGCGCGCCTGTCCTGCATTAGCTCTTTAAATACAAGTAAATGTGTGGAAAACTCGAGTAGGGCAGTGATATTTTTCACTTTATTTTATGGACATCTGCAGCATTAGCACACGTAAAAACAGTTAACCTAAAATCCAAACACACTTGATTGACTGGTACCTGTAACATACAAGTTGGTAAGCCTTGCCAAAGAAAACCAAACTAGCGTATAAAGTTGTTCTTTGGGGAAAGACATCAAATTGTTCTGTAATTTCATGGTCTATTGAGTTTCACCTGTATCTGACATATAGATCCTTTTTCACTTTGAAGCATTAGTTTTCCTCCTGAAAGTTATATTTGCTCATGAAAATCTCTTTTCTTTGTAGTAACACTGCACTAGAAACAGAGGTATTCTGTAATTTCTTCATTATGAAGAAAACTGTAAAGCCAATAAGACTGGCCACCATGCCTGGCCTAACAATCGTATTTTTAATTCCCAAAATTTGTGCTTTAACAAAACAACATATGTAATCTTTGTTTCTTTTTAAAACAAAAAGAAAAAAAATGAACATATATGTTAACATATATTGAGTACTTAATACATTTAGGACCTGAACTGAGTACATGCATTATTTTATTTAATCCCCAACAGCCCAATGAAATAGATAGCATTAATACCTCCATTTTACATGTAAATGAACTGATGTTTCAAGGTTATATGGCTAGCACAAAACAGAAACTGGACTCAAACCATGTTTCTTTTTTTTTTTTCCTTCCAGAAATATTTTAATAAAAATTGGCCATTTCCAAGAAACGCCCACTGCATGCCCATCAATAAAAGAGAACCATAACAAAATAGAAAATTTACCATATGGCTATGATTTAAAGAAAAAAGACACAAACACATTAGCAAAATATTAAAGTCACATTCCTTCTTAGGGACTCAAACCGTGTTTCTAATGCCTGCCACCACTATGCTGTGGGAATGCATCCTTGCCATCCATATACATGTATAGAGATACTGAGAATGTTAAAGTGGTTACTGTTGGATGGTGGGATTATGGATATGTTTACTTTTTTCCTTATAACTTTATGCCTGGTTTGGGTTTTCCATGGTGAGCATGAATTTTCCCTCTTAGAAAGACTTAGTATCTCCTCTTTATCGCTAGGCTTCTAAAATTCGAATAGTGTACTTTGATGCTGAGTGGGCTCTTTCAATATAGAGGTGCCTGTCCTTTAGTCCTAGGAAATTTTCTAATCTTTTTTTGTTTGTTTTTGTTTTTAAGACGAAAACACTCTTGTACCCCAAGCTGGAGTGCAATGGCGTGATCTTGGCTCACTGCAACCTCCGCCTCCGGGGTTCAAGTGATTCTCTGGCCTCAGCACCCTGAGTAGCTGGGATTACAGGCGCCTGCCACCACGCCCAGCTAATTTTTGTATTTTTAGTAGAAATGGGGTTTTACGATATTAGCCAGGCTGGTCTAGAACTGTGACCTCAGGTGATCCACCCGCCTGGGCCTCCCAAAGTGCTGGGATTATAGGCGTGAGTTATCACACCTGGCCATTCCTGGGAAATTTTCTAATATAGTTTCTTTAATAATTTCTCCCGTCCATTTTGTTGTTTTCTGTGAAATGCCTGTATTAATCTCTAATTTTCTTGTCTTTTCTGTCTAGTTAACCATTTTTTCCTATTTGCTGTATTAGTTCCTAAGCATACCCACCAACTTTTCTATTGCATATTTCATTTCAGGCTAGGTGCAGTGGCTCACACCTGAAATCCAAGCACTTTGGGAGCCAAGGTGGGCAGATCACTTGAGCCCAGGAGTTCGAGACCAGCCTAGGTAACATGGCAAGACCCCATCTCTATAAAAAAATACAAAAATTAGCTGAGCATGGTGGCATGCACCTGTAGTCCCAGCTACTTGGGACGCTGAGGCAGGAGGATCACTTGAGCCCTGGGAGACAGAGGTTGCAGTGAGCTGAGGTCATGCCACTGTACTTCAGCCTGGGTGACAAAGTAAGACCCTGTCTCAATTAAAAATATATATATATTTCAGCAATCTTTTTTTTTTTTTTTTTTTTTTTGAGATGGAGTCTCACTCTGTCGCCCAGGCTGGAGTGCAGTGGCATGATCTTGGCTCACCACAGCCTCCGCCACCTGGGTTCAAG